CCCGCTATACGTACAATATGTGATCCGTCAACATTGTACCGGCATGTTTGAACATATGTTATCTCCATTTAACATGATAACTATAAACACGATGAAATAGTGAGTAGCAAACGTTTGTCGCAACACAATTTTCGTATACAAAAATTATATAAGTAGAAAATCCCAATATCTAAATTTAAATTTCACTACTGGGTAAACCTCTATTTTCATAACATCATTCAAGTATAACAGCAAAGTTGCTTAACATTTGGAATTCGGTTCATCGGAAGATGAGCAAATGCCTTCCCAAGAAAGACTCCGCAAAATGTTGATCCATGAAATCATGATTTATAATAATGAGCAAGATTGTACCACAAAAGCGTTTCGCCCGGCTCACGGTGCCGCGTCATAAAATTAGATCCATTCGAAAGCACTTTTGGTAATCGTAACAGCTGACACTTGCACAAAACTTAGTTCATTAATGAAAATCGTTTGGTATTTTACTTTTGTGCGTACACAGATAAAGGCTTCGATGCCTCTCCATTCGCGCTTCAGTCCTATGTTTGTTTTCAAACGATTCTGTGCGCATTTCACACGCGCGCATTTGTTGACTGGGGGAATGACGGCGATGACGACAACGACGTCGTCGTCGGCGTTTACAGATGCGAAAGGTGAATCGTAGGGAACTTTAGCGAATAAAAATGCCATAAAAATAAGGAAATAAAATGTTATGAGATGTCGGTACCTTTCTCGGGCGGAAATGCGTGAAAGTGAACATTTTCACAGGCATTGGCATTTCTCGCCCTGCTCTCACACCCCACACAAATGGAATGCTGATGTATAAGAATAGAACATACGCACGTTAAGAGGCGCTTTAATAACGGGTAATGCGAAGAAAATGAGCGCAATTCCTAAGTGTGGCTAAAAGTTTTTATGAATGCAACTTCTGTGTGAATTTGAAAACGAGACATTGTAACAATCCACCCTCACGCTAGCTCTAGTACGCTTTTTTCACATCCGCAGCTCTTATGTCGACATGTATTTTGATGTTTAACGCTGAGTTCCAAACAAAACTTTTTTTCTTCTTCTTTTTGTTAAATTCGATTTTGTTTACTGCTAACAAACGTGAATTGTTCTCTTGCGGAAACCATATAATTCGAGTTGGTTCGCCATTCCTTGGCTCATACACAATAAAAGCTACAAAATCTACACTGAAAACGATTCGTGGTAAAATGCGATGTAAAACTATGATACTAAATCGTAGAAAAATATCGTAAAATTTACGAATGCATTGTACAATGTACGATGGTCTTCATGCGATGCATAACCACGATGGGCTTAGTAAATAGTACCATTATTTATTTTGAGTGTATAATCATTGCTTTTGACAACGTACTTAAACCATGCGACGTAAATGCGTTTCTTTTCACGCTCTGAATTCCGATATGATGATGGATGGAAATGAAATAATGGAACAAGAGACAAACATGATCTTTCTACATCAAATTAGATTTATGCTAGATAATTCTTCATTTAGAGCGCTTTGCTACCATCTTGCTATTCCCATACGCATTCTTTTGTACGTTTGCTGGCCAGACATAAAGCTTTTTGCATGCATTGAGCGCTTGTCTTGTTCATTGTCATGTCATAAAATATGATAATGCGATGGAAATGAGAAGCGATAAGAGTATTTCATGAGTGCACAACCCTTAGAGTAATAGATATGGACATAAAGTACTGAAATGACAACGTCAGCCAACACACAAGAACATGTTAACGATCAACACGATTTTTCTATAAATTCCCGTACGAAAAAGTGCTATCCATATTCCATATGAAAATGAAAACCAATAAACCAAACGAAGAATGTGAATTCCATGCCAAAAGTGAAAAACGAGAGAGAGAGAGAGAGAGAGAGAGTTCGCGAATATAAAATGATCTCTTGGAAGAGTAAATGCAATCAATTTTATAGTTAAATTATGCGTGCAGGATAAACAATATTTCAGTGAAATTTTATGAATTCAAAGTAATTAAAATTGTGTCAATATTTTCTCTCGACATAATGATCGGTTGTTCACGAACACCGCTTGTCATTTTCATTGTTCAGATTATTTTGCGTTGGACTCTTGGCATGATTTATGTAATGAAAAGTGTCCATTTTATGTGCAAACATTGATAAAACGGTAGAAAAATTTGTATAGCAAACAATGGCAGAGCTGCGTGAGGTATTAAATGCAATTACATGTACAACGCCCATAAATGAATGAGGCCGTTCTGACGCATAATTAGAATTTAAATGAGGACGAGAAAAAAAAAACTGACATAATTATTGTTATTAATTTGATTGAAAAAGCAACTTCGATTAATTATTTTCTACAGCAGGGGGTCGAGAAGCAAAAAAAAAATCGATTACTGCATCGATAATTTATGATGGGCAAATGTTTCTCTTGCAGCCGTTCATAATTCAGTGGCTGTCATTGCAGAGTCAACAACACTTGGTTGGAAACATTTCCGAATCGACCGATATCAGAATGAATTTGTGAACCGAGCTCACACGGTGCGCAATACAAAATACATTGATGTGAAAAAAGCCCGTTACATTTTCTAAAGATTGAAGTAAATGATATGCAGTAACGAAGTAACGCTATTCGAACTTGTCTCAAATGTATTGATTTCCAAGTCTGTGAAACCCCTTCCCAAGACAATATCAGGGAATTCAATCATTTGACACGCCTCATTTCCTCGCCAAGATGTTTTTCATGTTTGTTAGTTGTCATTTGTAATGTGTTTAGAATGTATCCCTTTGAATGAAAGCATATTATATACTTTGTCTTTGATCATCAGTTCAGAAATCGAAAAGCAATGTCTGTGTGGATTCTTTGTACTTTTATTCGTTCTTTGACACACAAAGCCAGAATGCTTCCATCGTATCGATAATAATAAAGGTTTTGATGATGTTTCATTATTCATTATTATTCGACGATACACAAGGTACTCTTTATGGCATTATCTTGCAGTGCATTGTTCAGCTCGCACTTCTCTTTGAGCCATTTTATTTGAATTATAATGACTTCACATCCGATAAATTGATTATACTGCTATAATAAAGCCCGTTCCAATGACACGAGTACAAAAATAACGGCAAACGACGTCCTGAGCACCATCGTATGTCCCATTTTAAATTGAGACTCTTCATGTGATTCCCATGAAACTTATTGCATATTCATGGAAAATCAACCATCACCATACGGTATGGTTTATACCAAACGTTGAACGAAAATTGTGCAACTGAATTATTTGTTATCCAATGATTAATATTCAGATTGTATGGAAATGATTGAAGCATGCATGATGCTAAATGACGCTGGTGGGTTTCAGAGAATATTTCATGGATAACTTCATCCAAAAAAGTACAATGAACTCCCGTTTAGAATACAGTCAAAGGCAATCTTATCGTTTGAATGGTGCAAAATAGGGCTGTAATCCACTCTCTTTATGTATATTGGGGATATTTCATTCATTTTTACCATGCGTGGCAAACATTGCCATTCTTTGAGGTACTTTATTTGAATAGATTTCCAAACCACCTTTAAATTTCAAGCCAAAAAAATTACCTGGCATTTTGCATATTTGGACGTTTAATAATCATTTGTGAATGGAATCAAATTCAATGAATATGTTTTTTCTCAGAATTTCATTCTTAAAAACAAATTTCGTTCGCAGCCTATGTTGAAAATAACTTCAAATTCCACGTTTACAACTTCAGGGATTTTCAAACGAACGGCCATTTACAGCATGGCAACGCAATTCATCCTGATATTGATTCAATGAAATCGCCCCTTTCATCTCCTTTGTCGACTCTATTCCTTTTGAATTACGTTTTACACCGTTTGCATGTGCCACGTGATTTGAAATTTTTTAATTAAAAACTGACGAGTAAGGAGCTTATTTGAGACCATTAACTCTTCTTATTAAACAGTTTTCCATTCGAATGTTTTGTGCGATTGACATTGAACTGTTAGATGGAGCACAATCAGATTGGCAGGTCGTTTAGCACAAAAATCACGTTTTTCACTGATATTGCACGTTTACGTGGAATAATGCAAACCTGTCATATCGTCTCAAGCAGATTCGAGAAAAGAAACAAAAAAATGGTGAGTTGAATGACGTATTTTATTGCAAAACAAGTGCACTAAACACGTGCTTTTTAAAGTGATTTCACTGTGACGCACATTGCGATCGAACTGTGCCAAAAATATTGGAAACAATTTGGTTTGAATTTGACAACAAGTCTTTTTCGCATGGCGCGTATATTAGAACAGCTTCATTTGAATGGTTGCAACTTCGTTATTGTCGTTTAGTCGTGATTGCGTACGAAATTGCGTAAATTTCGAAGCATAAATGAGCGATTTCCATTATCACCGTGGAATAGTCTGTCGTTGGCTGATTTCATCGACATACTTGTAACGAATTCGTTTGCCTCTCTCCGTAGTTGCCATTTACCCATTTCAATGAAACGTTTGTTTCACAGTCAAATTGAAATGCTTAAAAAATAGACGGCTTGTTATGCCAAATCTATTTTATGACGTGCGTGCGTTTACTCTGCCACTGATTGATAAAAGGCACGTAAAACACAGAAGGGTTGACAATTACACTAAACAATTGATGGTATTTTGTTTTTTTTTACCCCTTCACCACATTTCCGTGTCTAGTGTTCATTTCGGTTCTGCATGTGAGCATAGATTGAATACAATCAACATTTGTGAATTGAAAAGAAACAAAACGACAATATTTTCGTCACGTGACGCAACTCGTCATAACAATTACCAAATTACCATTGCAACTTACGAGTTACAATTCGATCCAAATAAATATGACGCATTTGATTCCATTCAAGAAGTTTCACGATGTGAAAATATTGAACAAACAATTTCGAATACAACCGCATTCAATACCCTTTGCAGAAATGAAAGAATTACAAACTACAATGCTTGATTTGAATCCCTTTATCTTTTTTCCAGATTTATTTATGGGCACAACTAAATGACGAGCACATAAAAACCATTCCCAGAAACATCTGCAAACATCAGCTTGAGAATAAATGCATTGACTGATAACAATTGTAAGCAAATTTCAGTAAAATAGAAAATTAACTTGGAAATGACAAAAAATGTCTCTTCAGATTTTTCACTTGTTTAATTGTTTTTTTTTTGTAACTACAAGTTGAAGTTTTCCGCAGTGAATATATATATATACTTATATACATTTAGTTCAACAGCTCGTCTTGAATAAACATGGCGACAGAATTCTCGAACTTTTACCGAACAACAATTACAATCCTTCTTCTATTGACCTATTTTATGAAATACTTCCACTTTGTTGTGATATATGCTTCGATATTTTTGCTATCGATTTCATACAGTAATAAATATATTGTTTACATCGAAATCTGTTTCCATGCGCTTCACATCCCAGTATGCAGTTCACGCTATCAGAGACTTGGCAACCGAATGTGTTCGTTTATCAGGATTTAATTTATATTGATCGCACACTTGCATTAAGATTAAGTCATTAGCTTTCTTGACTTTCGTTGGCTTCGAACGAAATCGCTTACAATAAATTACACAAAATATGACAGGAGCTTGTGATCCAGTCGATTGTGTAAATGGTACAGGAAAAGAATGGTGAATTTATTGGCTTCGATTCAATTCAATCGCAATTTCCTCTTTCAGTTTGCAAACAACGACCGTGTCGATTTTCAAGTAATTCCAAGATTTATATTTAATCCGTTTGTTTGTTTGCGTTTGAAATATTGAATGAAAATCGTATTATGATTTTATTACCTTGCTTGGGTCAACAAACTCTACATTCGTGCGAGAAGTTATTGATTATGCATATTTATTTATATCGATGTCTTGAAGCTGTTTTGAAAATAACTCTGGCTTCATCGATTAAATGACATTTCGAACAAAGAGAGGAAAAGCATCACGGGAGTTTGCTTTTGCTTGTTCCTATCCATGAGTAAAATATATGTAGATTTGAACATTGATGGATTTGCACAAAATGGTCGAGCATCATCTTTCATCTGATATTACTTGATATACCGGCTTGTATTAGTCTTTACGGCGCTAGTTGATGTGCATTGTTCCTAGCAATAAATTGGAAGGAAATCCATTTTCGAGGGGCCAAATCGAACATCAATCAGCCCTCAGTGAATAATTGGCGAACAATCGATCAACTTCAAAATTAGCGTCTGACACCTTTTGCACTTTGCTCACGATGCTCGAACAATTTTACAAGCTTATGTACAGTGTACACCCGCATTTTTTTCCCTTGAAATTTTATTAATTCTCCTGCATACACAAAAGAAAACCCAAAGACCAACCACTCCACCATGGGAGCGTCTATTGAGATATGAGTCTTTGGAACTCGAAAAACGTTGTCTTGATTTTGAAAAGTGTGCTAAAGTTGGAATTCTTACGCCATATTTAGAGAAAAATGCCTTAAGAATTTTCACTGGCTCCACTTTCCCTTGATTGATGACATGGACTTTTGCTACTACTATATAGCAACTGATTCATCCGCCGAATCAAAATTGAAAGAATTGTAATCAGTTGCAAGCAAGGAAATGGAATTCCATGAACAAACTCAGAAAGAATGTAATTAAATTCATACTTCAGTTTTGTTGGTGAAAATTCCGTGAAAATTAATTTCGCCAACAGTAACCAAAGCCATAACGATTTCAATTGGACTGAAACAGCAATGAAACTATGGAATATCATAATAAATCATTTTCACCAAGAAGAATTTAATTCGGAAAAAAAAAACTTTGTAAGTACAGAATGTAATTGGTTAGATTTGCATTCCTCGTTGGGCTCGCTCATCAAAACTTCCGTGATGTACAATTTTTTCCTGTATGCTCGAGTTAATTCGTGATGTAAAAAAACGGACGGAGTGAACAGCTCAGCAAACGGACCCCGTAGATTTTCTTGATTAAAAAAGTCCAGACATTTTTTGATCCAAGCAAAGAGATAATATTGCCGGCGAACTGTAAGAATGAAAACATGCACATTAGTCATCCACTCATCGGTGCTACATTAATTTATCCCGTTTTTCTTCTGCTTTATTCAAACATAGCATGCCCGTGTGAAAAAAAATGACTGACTCACTATAACTTCAGCTGACTTTTTGATTGAATTTATGTTTTTTCCTAAGCAAATCACTTGGCCCCAAATGAAGCAACTTAGATTGAATTGTAACTTCAAATAATTTCAGTCAACTATGATAGACTTACACTACACTTTGTACTGAAATGTCGATCAAAGTAAGTCATTTTTGTCCCAAATTAGTTAACTGACTGCTCAGTTACTATTTTTTCACACGGGTGGACTTCGATGGCTTCTCGTAGAAAAATATTTCATCTGATTCATTTCATTCATTTTCCAAATACATTTCCACAAATGAGGTTTTTGATGCATTTCATTGAGCACTACTTACCAGCATATTTCATTCCGTTTTTTCCTTTTCTTCTTCTTCTTTTTCTTTTTCTTCTTTTTCTTCTTTTTCTCTGCCATGATTTTCTCCGGATGATATTTCTCGAATGCGAGCGAAATCAGCGAAACAGATACAGCTTATATGAAATCACAGAAGCATCAACATATTTTTTTAAATTTATTAAAAATGAATTCTCTCCTTGCTCTGATGTGCAATAAATCATACAGGAGACGGAGCACGAATAAGGCAAAATGCATCTGAGAGTCAGAAAAAAAGGAAGATCGCACATTGGGCAACTGTGGTGAAAAAGAGTAATAAATAATAGAAAACGGAGGGAGAAATACGAAACAAAACGTGCAGCAAATAACACAAGACCACGTGCAGGAAGATTCGTATTGGTGCTTTTGGATACGCTCATTCCGACTGGATTGCAATGTTGTGAGCAAAAGTCTTCGGTCGAAATCGTCAAATATAGATATATCGTGGTTACAATGGTAACGAAACCCAAAGCATTTTGCTACCGAAAACGAATGGGTCCATGCTCTCAGCATCTCTCGTTTCGATATTTTTCACCGTCAATGCTACAAATTCAAATGTTCCAAAACGTTGACCAACAGAAGAAGAAGTAGAATTGGAGAAAGAAGGACGAAAATATAGGAAAAAAGTGCACACAGCACATGCATAAAAAGGCTGTTGGTTTAGACACCACTGTGCTTGTAAAATCACGAATGGAAAACATCAAATCTCTTCAACGAGGCAAATGGGAGAAAGTATCCGGGATGAGAGGCAACATCTCTTTCCTTTGGTCCTTTTCAAAACAAATTTTTTTTTTTGCAACTCAAATGACATAGGAGGAGGGAGAGGTTCAAAAAAATTTCTGAACCACGAATGTTTGAACCACTTTTTCACGAGCGAAAAAAAATCGTCAAGAAAAAAAAAAACAAAAACGAAATTGTCAAAAACAACAAATTGTGAGAAGAGAGAAAGAAAAATGGCAAACAGCCCTTTTGGCGGAAGTAAAATAGCGTGCCTCTCATCTGATGATGGATAAAGCCCTTGCACATCCTCACCATCATCCCATCTGTTCGGGATGTTTCATTTTATGCTGATATTGCTATGAAGAATAAGTGACAAAGTCTGTGACACTCGTGATCCATTGTTCAAACGTTTTGGATGGGCCATTTTTTTTTCCACGTAAAACACACTTTTAATTGAGTGAATGGTCTTTGTTAATCTCAAGTTTCATTGTGTATCACCAACACAGTGACGCATTCATTCTGTCAATGATTTGGAATTCATCTGGGTTCTGCTCCAGGTGTTTCGGAGAAAACGGAAAATTCAGGTTTCGACAAGTTTTGGTATTTAATTAAAAAAAAAAAATCTCAAATTTTCCCTTTGTTCGACAAGATGATGCAGATAATGTTTCATCCAATGCCGTTGATATCGGCAACGTTGATAAGCTGGTAATAAATTACAGACCTCTAATTAAAGATTGCACGAACGAAACGGAAGCACCTGTCAATGAAAATACATGTTCCGTTCAACCTTATTTTCAACCAATTTTGAACTTCAGCGCTGAAATTCCAACGATTCGTCCCATTTTTTAATTACAAAAAAAAATTGATGAGTTCATCACGAAATTTCTCACTGTGTAAATGCTCTTCAGGCTGTTGCAAGAGTGGCTCAGAAATTGAAAATAAACAGTTGAATTACTTCCATTTCGAAGATCTAAACAACAAGACAGCTGCACTGAATGAAATACACTCCCTCGCATAAAATCATTCAGAATTCATTCTCACCACGATGCGGTCACCCTCGAAATCTACTCGCATCGCAGTGCAGCAATATGGAATGAAGATAACAGTTATGGATGGAAATGTATAAAATGTGTTTTGGTTTTTATTCAGTCTGAGCGTTGATGTGGCGCCCAAAAACATGAGATTTTACTTTTGGGCCATTCATTTCTTCGCCGAGCTGTGGGCTAGACACTGAGTGAAATAGCTAAATTCATTAGTAATATTAGTGTTAATGGAGTACGGTTTGACTGTTTCGTTCGAACCACATTATTACGCCCTAGAAATACATCGAAATGACTCCGAAATGAAGATAAAAGGAAATGAATTTTATGTTTGAACTACCAGAGTAGTAATAAATTATTTTGATCAAGCGCTACTAAAAGTGGAAATTAATTCTAATGTTTTCTTCTTCTTTTTTCGTTTCAGGTTTTCACAAAGCGACCACTTGTAATGTACACAACAGACATGAGTGTAACACTAAGTTTATCTCCATCGCCGTTTTCATTCCATAAATAACACTGTAAAATCCAATTATTAGTGAGAATTTCTCCAAATTTTTCGTTTAACAATCAGTTATTTCTTCTCTCCGAATTGTGGTTATAACTTAAAGTTCATAACATCAACTCACAAATGTTGATCCGAAAAAGTAGTGTTGAATAAAAACAAAACAAAAATCAAATTAAAAAAAAAAATATCAAAAACAAAAGCTCAAGATATTCACAAAATTCAAGGGAAATACAGATAAAGTGGTCTGTATTTAATCTGCGTGATAATGTTGTTTTCAAATTTCTTAGATAATGTACCAAAATTTAGTGAATTTGTCGAAAGTCTATCGATAGAGCGATGTTATCAGCAGCTAAAGCGGTCGCCATGCAGCGACAATAACCACGAAACATTTGGTCAAGGTCATAGTGTTGCACAAGCCAACCATCCGTTACATCATAATCACAGTCGAACGAGATGGAAAGGCCGCCGTCATTCAGATGGTGTGCCGAATCGGCTGCCGCATCAGAAATTCGCCCATCAACATCAACGAACACTGACGCCGCATTCCGTGAGTGCGGTCATTTTGTTTTTTATCGTACTGTTATCACATGACCAAACGACAACAGTGATTGGTGCACGTAGCAGGGATAGTTTTAATAGTATTTATCAAAATAAAAGTAGTGTAAATAATATTACAAATGGCGATTTGAATGCTTCTGCTGCTATTGACGCGAATGTTGTGAATTGGATCGATGACGAATTGCCGATTATTGACTTTGAGTATTTCAATAATGTTACGGACGATGCCGAATTCGAGAAACTGCTTAGCGGCGGCCGTAAATCGAAACGACCGCCAATCTATCAAAATGAGTTTGCCGTCTACATTCCCAACGGTGCTGATATGGCTAATGATGTAGCAGAGAAGCACGGATTCACCAACATGGGACAGGTGAGTTGTGTTTTTAATGGCATTCTTATCATGTGGGTACGGAAACCACAAACACTATTAAGCGTCTGTCTAATCTGCTCGTATCATTTCAATACAAAATAAATCTTCTGCGCCACGTTGTTATTTGTGCTTCTGTGTTGAATTAAATTGGAAATTACCTCTGAAAACTCTTTACTAAGCATTTAAACAATTCCATTTTAATTTGCCAAATCTTTCGCAATTAAAATCTTCCTTGCATCTACTTCGATGCACTTTTTATATTCATGTTTCAACATTCATTTAGTTGATTCCACAACAACGACCACAGTACTGTTTTGAACGCTTTTTTCTGTTCCAAAATGGCAAAGGGAAAAAATAAAAGAATTTTAATTGCTTTTTATGTCTATCTACGCGCATTTTTTTTTCGGTGTATGCTCTTAAGAACGCCGGTTTTTGTACTTATCTCTCTGCTGTACCACGACAACCGCCATGATGATTAAAACAGATCAACAGCGACTAGACAACAACGGAAAAAAAACAACCACACCAAACACATTTTTAGCGATGGCTGCTCGCCAAAAAAAAGGCGGACGGGTCTGAAGGGAGGTGAAAAACCGCATTTTATAAATTAAAAGTTTTGCCATTCACTTTCTGTTGTTTTCAAGCAGCATTTTTAGTTGAAAATTTCTTTGCGCTGCTTTTGGTCGTTCGGATTTTCGTCCCTTTGGCTATTATTTCGTATTATTTTTTTTTTTTCATTCAAATGCTTTGGAGGAAAAATGCTCAGTCGCATCCGCTTTATTACCATTGCGCTCGACAGCACGTAAACTTCTTTTGCCACAAACACAACCCAAAATAAGTCGTCGCATGTGTGTGCGGCGCTCTTCGATGAACTAACGTAATTGGTAGAAAAAAAAGAAGCGAGAAACGAGCATGATAAATAAAGAATTTCCAAGAACATTAACCAAATAACGATGCATGCAGAAGAAAAAAATTGAGAGAAAGAATAGAGCGCAAACCCATTTTCAACTCGAGAAATACTCAAATTAAATGCCATTTAACAATTTCTCATGGGCGAATCTACTTTTTCTCACTTTGGCCCAAAACATTCTGCTGGCTGCGGTCTCACGCATTCAGTTCGTGGAAAACAGAAAAAAGCGAAAAATTAATTAAAATTTGTTTTTATTTAATTTCTGATGTGATGTGTGTGTGTGTTTGTGTGTGCCTTCCCGACACTATTCTTTTCCAGTGTCCGTTTGCCATTCATCGGCTTAGCGTTTATTTTATTCACCATAAAATTTGTTATTTGCCCATTTTATTCGTATCGTGTGTTGGCATTTCATTTGGTTTACTGTCACAAATGGAATTACGTCGGCGATGTGTCCATTTGATAAATATTCAATTCGTCGTGCCGTATTATTATTTGTGCTCGCTGCTTTTACAACTACGAACATTTACTTGTGATACCATACAGCTCTGGTGCTGATGCTGATGCCGTTGTCCAGAAAGGCGCCTGTTGTTTACATTACGTATCTCCGAATCGTGACAATCGTGGCAAGCACGCTGATAAGCATCCACACCAAGTTGTTAATTACCGCAAAACCATTGACCGTCCTTACGTCTTCTTACGCCTTTTTACATCAATTTTATGCTGAGGCAAAGTTCTTGTACTTTTTTATTGGGGCAATTTTCGTCGTAGCGATAGCGAACAGACAACTAGAAAAAAATTGCGAGGATAATAGATTTTCCACGCCAACCACTCACTCTTTTGTTCGCATTTGCGCACAATATTTTCATCTCGCAATGGCATCACGCGAGTTGAATTTGAATCATTCGTATGGAATATTTGCTGTATATTTTGCCGAACTGAACAAATATAAAGCCAATCCGTTTACGCTTGATGTCATAGCCTCGAATGTTTATGCCACCGAATTTCGTTGAATTTTCTTCAATGTGAAAGAAAAACTGAAAGCCACTAACCAGGTGATTTGCAAAACTAATTGAATTTGTCTTCACTTTTCCACCGCTAAAACTCATTGCGTCTTGTGGCTTATACATATTTAATGCCACTTCACAACGAAATGGTTTCGTGGTTCGTAATGTGCGCCAAATCGAGCGCGCTCGCATATATTTCCATTGGAATAATGTTAAAATCCGACAAATTACTGAATGTCGTGAGCAAACCAAATTGATGTCTCTATTGTGGAGACAAATGTTAATTAAATTATGACGAAGCGTGTGCCACGTTTTCACTGCGCAGTGCGCACGCGGCATTATATCTCAATATTTTATACGTTTATATATGTTTGTGATTTTATTACACAATTCAAGATGAAATCGAAAATGACTACTGTGCGAATTGACATAATTGAATATGCAGTTGAAGTGCTGTGAATGGGATCGTATGCACGCGATATCTCTTTTTACATGCTTGATGTACGCAAAACGAGAAAGAGTGAGATTAAAACAATCAACACATGAGCCAATTTTATGCTGGTTTTAATTCCATCGCAATCACTTTCAAATAATAATTATTAATTAAACACACATCTCGTTAACACTATTTGTGTGTGCGCGAATCGCATCCGATCACAGTTAACATTCAACATTCATAATTCGGAATTTTGCATTGAAATGACATGGCAACTTGGCGAGACAAGAGCTACGCTTAGCAAAGCAAATCATAAGCACTATAGCAAACAATGCTTCATTCATTCAGATGCGCCAGCAGACTATTCGATTCACTGCACTCAACTTACTGCGTTCCCATTAAATATTTACGAAAGTTTTTCGTCGAGCATCAACAATACGATAGAAGAGTCGTGCATAGAACACACGTCTGCATTCCACTTGAAGAATTTCATATTTAAGAAGAAAAATGGCTTCATTCTCATTCAGTCGACTGAGTTTCAAAATAATATTTGCACCACGCGATGACATTGTGCATTGTTTTAATCGAGATGGCAGAGCGAGTGATATTTTTTTTACAATGCATTCTGAATGGCGAATCAAGAAGCACGAAATCACTTCGGGTCGATTTTGACGCAAATGGAGTGTTAATTGCGATGTTATTTCGTCTTAGTTCCCCCCATAGATGCAATCATCTCGTTCTATTTTTTTTTCTGCATTGTCATGTACAACATCTTCGATAAGCGGTTCATTCAAAGTGTTCGTTCCATATAAAGTCAATTGTTTATTTGTTTGTTTTACTCAAACCGGTTAAGTATAGTGATTGCGACTGATTCGAAAAGCATATCGCCAACAAATAACCACCACATTCATTGGATATGAGTTGTTTCGATCCAAAAATCGAAAGATAGAACACAAATTCGAACAAGTAACATGTTGCGACACAACGAGAGTAAAATCAAATCGTAAGAATTTCTTTCTGACTTGATAATAATCAATATCAGTGCCAGCAATCGAACGAGAACGTGCACGTTTCGTCTGTGTGCTGTTGTTGTTGTTGTGTCGCTCGTCGCCATTTGTTCGCTTACAAATTGACAACTAAACAAAACAAGGATCACAACCGAAATGTAAAATCGAACTGAAAATGTCACACATATCCTCTGTCGCTCGTTCTCCCCCCCGACCCGTGCACTGCTCCTTACACTTTTTCTGTTTCGATGCACGATGTTGCCTGACTGTCGCTTGCCGGTTTTATTTGTGTTCATTTTATCAGACGTTATGTCTCCGATTGCCTTCGGTATCTGTATTCATGTCAGTCGATATCATTGTCAAATGTTTCGAAATGGCGGTACCGTGGTATTTCATTGCATCAGACACACATCAATTTTCGATTCATTTCGTGTACCATTTTTATTGTCTTCGCTTTCACATTCTCATTCCAAAGTATTGGCATTGAGTGTGTGTCGTTATTGTCGATTTCTGATCGAAGAATTGGATAGAATCGATAGCTAAATCATTGAACATTCAGCACTTTCGAGATATGGAACATAGCTACCTTGACTGAAGCTAGCGTACGCTTCGTTGAAAAATGGGAAAACAAAAACAAAAACATAACCCAATAACAAAGAATTACTAAAGAAGTCGAGGCTCCAAAAGAGAGGAAGATAGGATAGAAGAGCCTAACACACAGTTCTTTCGATAAAACAACAGTCGGAGGGTTGTACGAAAGTTCAATAATTCAAACGAAACAAATAAACAAGAATTTTCAGTGAAAAGAAAATTGACGAAACAAACTCGTTTCTTAGCGAGTTATATAAGACTTACTCACAATCGGTGAATTGGAAACTTCTATTTATGATATTTTGGGACCCAGTATTTTTGGCACGATGCTACAAACGAAGAGTTGCTTTTGATGTTGCAATACCAAGACATTTTCCGTAACAATTGATGGCGTAAATTATTTCATTTTTCGCTCTCGACACTCTTATATATAACAAATATCACAATTTTATTCGGGCTTCTTCTTAGTCATATAGCAACTATTTCAACTCTGTCATCATCGTTCGAATTTTGCGATGGATACGTGCATTGGATGACATGTCTCTGCACCGTGAACTCAACGTCACATTTGATTCTTATTTGTTTTTGTTATTTCGAGCTCCGTTCGATGGCACCAGTGATGACAGGTAATGCTGTTTGTAGTCGGTGATTTTTTTTTTATTCAACTACGCAGCTTTGTTGGATATAGAATTTGCCATCGTGTCGACAAAGTGTCTCATGTATATGGGCTCATTTTAGTACATCAATCTTCATTCAAATTTAGCTCGTTATACTCATTTCGTACCTTATTTCAACTCTTCTTCGAAGCATAAAATATTCCTTTCACATATCGATGATGAATATGTGATGTATGACATGTTTGCATGTTGTTTTCGCGACGGTATCGAAGCCAAGGCAAATTCCTCATACATCGTGTACGCACTTGCCTTTTCGTTGTTTCCATTAAATTTTGCCATTCCTCCATCCATTCATCCCGATCGGAATGTGAAATCCATGCCAAAGATATGCACTTTACATATCCGAACCGATGAAGAGACACACATACACAAGCT